CACTTTGAAAGACTGCAATGCCAAAAATGTCAGGTGATTTTCAGTTTGTCGTTTCCGTACGTGTGCGACCCTGCTATGCCCGATCATTTAACTGACATTTATGAGTTCCACCTTTAGTTTAACCCATATAATCGCATATAATTTTGTCCTCTAGAAGCACGCCATATCAAGCCACTCATAAACATTGAAACATAGATTGCCTCCTAGGCAAGGAAGGTACCAGCAGGAGCAAAGGGGCGGTAAAATTCGCCGTGAAATTCGAACTTGGAAAAGATTTTGCGCCGTTTAACTTTCTCCGAAGTACGAAATATTGCGTTGCTTATGCGTTAGCACGTCAGGAGTACCATTTCCTGAATCATCGTGCTTGATGAACGTTGGTGGCACTCTGGGACGAAATGATGCGAGTTGCATGTGGCATTGCAGGTGCTCAAGTGCTACTTTTCGGTGGCCTGCTTATGTGCTCCCGTCATGTAGATGACTGGAAGCAAACGGGCGATGCAGTGCGCTGTGAAATCTGGTAATGGATGAATTTTGCACCATTTAAGGCGAAACAGGGCATTCCTTCATATGAAAGCGATAATATAAGGATAGAAACTTTCTTTCTTAATCAACTGCAGTGTGTAAAATTCTGTCACAAGTAAACCGTGCGACGTGCCATGTTTACTGTACTTTGTTTCCGTGTCTTGGTTTTAATGAGTGTAAATATGGAAGAACCGACCTAATAACTGGCTTTGTTGTGGCAAATGAGTTAAAGACTTGGAGAAATTTCAGAGTTCTGCCAATGAGAATTACGATTCACCAATAATTTTTCGCAACAGGGCGCTAGATCAGTTTTTAGTACGACACAACAATTTTATGTGATCCTTTCTAATTTCCCATAGGAAAAGGACCAGCGAAAGTTTTCCGTGATAGTCGGACAACAGGGAAAGAATTTCGTTTTTTGTAACACGTTTTGACTGGAAGCCAGTTGGATAGTGCACCTTGTATTTTCACGGCACGAACAGTGTTTCTCTACTGTGTTCTAACCGTGTTTATAATACTGTTTCGAAAGCCGCAGTTCTGCGCAATGTTTAATACTCTGAGAACGTGAATTATATCAGCATGCCAAGCCTTTAAATTAGTGAATACCGCGTAGTATGGTAGGCTGAATTTCCTTCGCCGCTGTATGACTATACAGAAATCAAGAGTATGTGGCCACTGCACCTGCAAAGATTTTTGATGCATGGGACACTGTTTCTTAGCCGCTTCTCTGTTTCATGTTTCCGGCTTTTCGAGTGATGGGGAAAAAGTTTTCTGCTATTGACTTCAGGGCTAGTCCTCGATATTTGGTGAAATCGGATTTGGTTCAGCGTCCTGAAGTAGAATGATTATCGATTTGTTCTGATACAAGTCAGGAGGACATGCAAAATTTCCAAAAGAATTGGCACACTTTCAATTCGTTTCTGTACCTAAATTTTATCGAAACGAGACTGTGTTTGACGTTTCGGCGCACGCTGTTTGGACAGAGGTCGGTTGCTGTAAATACTTGGTGCTGCTGTCGCTGTTTTGAATCTGTATAAATCTGTGGCTGTTATCAGTATCAACTATTTGATTTATCCCACCATGTCATATATCACTGGGAAGCTCTCTGAGAGTGAAGCGTGATGCCGTTGACATACTTGGATTTCGGATTACGATTCTCTTGTGGTTGGCAACGGTGCGAGGCATTGTACTTAACTCACAGAGAGCCTTCCATTTAAATGCAACTCAATCCATTAAATAAAATAATTGATGAATGTGTCTACCGTCCAGTTATGCGGATTCACAGCGGCAGCATCAATCACCTGTCCCAAACGGCTGCGCCAAAACGTTCCATTCCGAAAACCAGAGACGTTAAAGTTCAGTGGATGATTTCTGTTTTCGAAGAAGCTCTTTACATGTATCGAGGACTTGCGAAGGGTTTCCTCTACGACGCAGGAGTGCAGATAGATGTAAAGCATTCATTTGCTTCCCCGAAATGCTTGTATGGTCTACTCTGCTAGCTGCTCATTTCACTGGGCTATGTATTTGTTCATTTTCTTGCTAATTCATTAGCTTACAGTTTATATTTTGGACTTTCCTCAGGGCAGCAGTTTGATTCATCTTTTCTTTGGCCGACGTTGCCTTGACTCGTCAATCATCTCTCACGTATTGTTCGTTCTTTCCGTTTTAAGTTTTGTTCTTTATATTCATCCTTAATATTCTTTATTGTTATCGACGAATTTCTGTTGAATATATGAATTGAACTATTATTTTATTTGTTTGTTTAGGAAGGCCGAAAGACGACGGCGAACTATCACAAGCGCTCACGCTGCGGTCGGCTAGCCTTTAGCGAAAGCTTTGCATCAGACGAACTGGCAAAAAGTGACTCGAGCGACTTCTCCGACGCAATGCAGGAAGTGGCGCCAGCGCCGTCGTTCAAGAGACGCACGCTCCGTTGCAATCCGGGTAACGCTAATCGGTCGTTCGATGTAGCGCAAGTTGAGCATATTTTTGAAACACAGTGAAATCTCTCCTTTTGTCTTCGGTCGCTCGAGCCAATTCTTTCATGGCCGTGCCCGCGGCTACGAAGAACAGTCGTAATTCCGTGTTATGGGTGCTCAGTGAATGATTGAATGCATGAATGGATGGATGAATGAATAAATGATGGAATCAACGAGTGAACGAATGAATGGAATTTTGAATTCAAATTTTCAGCATAACATGAACAGACTAGGCTTGCGTCTCATACAGCGCACTCGCAAAAAACTCCGTTCATGAATACGCAGAAGCATGCAAGAAATAAAAATGTAACACTGAACTATCACAGAAACATTAAAAAACACCCAACTTAACGGAACTACCAAAATAGAAAGCTAAAATAATTAGGTAGGGTTATATAGTGCTAGTTAG